CAAAGTGGGGCACATTGCCACTTGAAGGGTTAGTTGGGTGCATGGACGGATAGTTTGATTAACCCATTGAGTGGCGGCACTCTCCCCCTGACAAGTGAAATTGTCTGACATCTAATATTAGACAGTAAAATAATAAAGTGGGGCACATTGCCACTTGAAGGGTTGATAGGGTGCATGGACAGATAGTTTGATTAACCCATTGAGTGGCGGCACTCTCCTCCTGACAAATGAAATTGTCTGACATCTAATTAGACAATAAAATAATAAAGTGCGGCACATTGCCACTTGAAGGGTTAGTAGGGTGCATGGACAGATAGTCTGATTAACCCATTGAGTTGCAGCACTCTCCCCCTGACAAGTGAAATTGTCTGACATCCAATTAGACAGTAAAATAATAAAGTGCGGCACATTGCCACTTGAAGGGTTAGTAGGGTGCATGGACAGATAGTTTGATTAACCCATTGAGTGGCAGCACTCTCTCCCTGACAAGTGAAATTGTCTGACATCTAATTAGACAGTAAAATAATAAAGTGAGGCACATTGCCACTTGAAGGGTTAGTAGGGTGCATGGACAGACAGTTTGATTAACCCATTGAGTGGCAGCACTCTCCTCCTGACAAGTGAAATTGTCTGACATCTAATTAGACAGTAAAATAATAAAGTGAGGCACATTGCCACTTGAAGGGTTAGTAGGGTGCATGGACAAATAGTTTGATTAACCCATTGAGTGACAGCACTCTCCCCCTGACAAGTGAAATTGTCTGACATCTAATTAGACAGTAAAATAATAAAGTGGGGCACATTGCCACTTGAAGGGTTAGTAGGGTGCATGGACAGATAGTTTGATTAACCCATTGAGTGACAGCACTCTCCCCCTGACAAGTGAAATTGTCTGACATCCAATTAGACACAACTGACAAGTAAAATAATACAGTGGGGAGCATCCAGGCTGCTGGGCTCATCGCCATTTAAAGGAGTGACCTTAAATTTATGAGGCATTAACCATATATATTTGGATAATAATACCATGAATCTGGCTGGATATTTTCAACTATACAACATACTATATCGTTTACATATCTGGCTGGATAGCAAAAACTATCCAACCTATCCTGTATCCAGCAGGATAGCAAAAAAGACTCTACTCTCTACACCCCTTCAAAGAACTTAAAGTAGGTAACATTTAGAAGAGGAAATTGCTTCTTAGGTGTTAATACTTAAAATGTAAAATATGGGCAAGCACTCCACCATCGAGTTAAATATCGCAGTAGTTAAAGTTGGGAGTGTTGGGTAAAATTGCATCTAAATATGTCAACATGAAACATGGGCAGAGTCTAGCTAGACACTTCCCTGGACAAATAAAATTGTCCGGCATTAGTTAAGATAACATTTAATTTTAACAAAGTGCTGAAAATTAGGCTTATTGGAGTATTATTATTCATGCATTTTAGGACTTAACTGTCAATAAATCAAGTTGCCATATAACACGTCAAATTGACATTTTTATCTAAACCGACCCACTTATACTGTATATATATATGAATAAACATTTGAAACTTATGAAAGTAGCAGTTGATATTATTAAAGTCAATAAATTCTCTCAAGCCATGTTTAGCTGGGACGTGCTTAAGTGGGCACATGATATGAGGATTGAGTAGAAATGTAGAATGATGCCAATTATAAAGCTATATTATTCTAGACAAGAAACATTGTTACAAATTATCTGTCATATTATTCGATATATAAACTAGGGCTGAATCAAATGCAAGCCTTTGTAAAAACTAATGTATTTATATTATCGTTTTAATTCAAATATTGTCGCGGCAAATTCAAATTTTAAGCCGGAACACATGGTTCAAAATTCACGAATGAAGATTGCAAATATTTCGTTTCAAAATTGCTCTATTATATAGAAAACATAACAATATTCTTACCTGTATGCTAGGCAATCATCCATGATGTTTTATCCTGGTTAAAAGGCATCGTCTTGCCTTCAAATACTCATTTTTACAGGCAACAAAAAATCAAAATGAATAATAAAAATTTCGAATAAATATGGCGGCGTCAGTGTGATGACGCTATCCCGGGAGGCTTTGCGCGTGTTGTCGGAAAACTAGGTCCCAGCCTGTCCGTGCGAAACCGCGCTCGTCGATCGTGAGAATTTTCGCTTGCATGTTTATATGTCACACGACAAACACTATAAATATTTTGTGTAAATAGAGTTTCCATGAACTCATGAAGAATTTAAAATTAACTCGGGCGGCAAAATTTTGACCAGGTAAACTAAATAAATACAATTGAAATATAAAATCAATATCAAAGTTTAGCCACTGTCACTGACGCTGTGTCTGTGGTGTATTGACTAAAGGTCTCCCCTCTTTACGAGTAAAATCTAGTGTTTGACTGAGTAAAACAACAAAGGCCAACAAAGCTATGGATGCATTACAGAAATAAATTACATGCAGAATTGGATAACAGAAAACACTGCCAGATCAGATTTGACCAATTTAGAATGGGTTACTGATTTGACCAATTTCGAATTGGTTATGGATTTGACCAATTAAAAAATTGGTTATGCATTTGACCAATTTCCAATTGGTTATGGGAATTGACCAATTAATAATTGGTTACCCATTTAACCAATTTACAATTGGTTACGGGATTTAACCAATTAAAAATTGGTTATGGATTCGACCAATTTAAAATTGGTTATAGAGATGACCAATTTAAATTGGTTATGCATATGACCAATTTTAAATTGGTTGGGGATATGACCAATTTTTATTGGTTATTTTGGGAAATTCAACATTGACTGATCAAACGAAATTGGTTAAATTTACCATTTTAAATTGGTTAAAAATTCAACCAATTATGTATTGGTCGAAATGACCAATATTTAATTGGTTATGTCAGACTAACCTATTCTTCAATTGGTTAAAATGACCAATTTAAATTGGTTGCAACCAATTTAAATTGGTCATTTTAACCAATTTGTTTTTACTGTGTCCATTCCTGCTGTCGCCAGGCAGTTGGTCCGTACGCTAGGATTAAAACTTCGCTTTAAAACCTTAAAAATAAAATAGTTTGGGCTCAAATTACTATCAAAATGAAGAGAAAAGTGAGACGACTCCATTGTGTACGAACGAAAAAGAACGCGAAGGCCTAGAGCGTAAATATGTGGAAGATCGGGGATCCGTTGGTCATTTTACTGGATACTAGTAAATCGTTTTAATTTATTGTAAGCAACTTACCAATTAAATTAAATGTTCTTGTGCTGAAATGTACTAGTAGTGGCATCATTGCTCATACAAGCCTCGATACAAGCATTCTCGATTTATACTTGACGCAAACATAAGTCTTTAGAACAACGCTCGCATACCGATAATTCAGTATAATTATATTTTTCACTTGTTGCCCGGCGGGATACATTGCATTTATCTGAAGTCACGTGACCACAAATCAGCCAATCACATTTGGTGTTCACCCTAGCTATATAACAAATATATTTATTATATGACAAGCATACCTGCGGTCCATCACGTAATTCGTAAAAACAAACGCATGTATTTTAAAAGAAGACAGCAAAACTGATTGAAAATGTGAAAATTATAATCTAATTTGTTATTAATAAGATATCTGCGAATGGTTTTTAGTGGAAAAGAAGGAGTACATTGGTATTTTTTGTTTTCTTCGACCAAATGTGTACCACGCTACTAATATGCATTTCAAATCATGCATTTCTTGTTTGTTTCAAGTTAAATGCCATATAATAAACTTTTCATTGACCTCGCTTGTTCGGTATGTACAGAGAAATATCGGACCTCAGTCTTTTTGTACAAACCTCGCCCTGCGGGCTCGGTCTGTACAAATAAGACATCGGTCCGATATTTCTCTGTACAGACCTCGCGTTCGGTTAATTAGAAGTTAATCTCCTAAAACCATTCATTGCCGTTCTAGGTGCGTAATCCACAAAGTGGTATGTGTTTTGATACCCTTGGTAAACGCGATGATCATCCTTTGGGTCTGTACATGTGTCATGGTCAGGGCGGAAATCAGGTAATATATCAACCTTAAGGAAAACGGTACCCTAAGGCTAAGCTCACTATATGATATTGAAAGAATATTTAGATTCCGGGTTGAGAACCATATCACAGGCATATACTATACATGCAGTACATGCAGTACGTGCGCAACATGCTCCATATATTTTGGGAAAGCCATTTGAAGTTTATTCCTTCATGGCAATCATTCATGTTGAATAATCTCTTGCATGTCCGAGTCTGTAACTGGTCACGTGGCGTGACGTAAGATTCCCGCGTGACTGCAAGCAAGACCTCAATACTCATTCTATTTTCTTTTTCAGTACTTCACTTTAAATAGCAAAGGAGAAGTCAAGTCTGAAGACAATTGCTTGGACTATAACGGTTATGATTTATATCTCAGGGAGTGTGATAACTTAGGACAGAACCAAAAATGGGAATATAAGGTAAATGAGCTCACAGTTTTTGCTTTTACAAAAATTTGGCTGGAATATGGTGACATTTTTAGCAAAATTTCATCATCATTATGTCTAATTATCTGTTATGTAGAGTCGACTGGAAAAGCTCTTCTCAGTTCAGCAGGATGCGAATTAAGATTTTTTCTGGCCTGCAACTGTTTTCAAGAATCGTAGCCCATGCTTGGTTTTGACGTACAAATTTCAATTTTGACATGCAAAAAATTTTTGTAATATAAGTACTCCTGACAATTGATAGCCTGCTACGCGGTAGAAGCTTCCCATTCTCTCGTGCCCGCGAATACCGCCTGCTACGCAGGCTAGACAATTGATAGCAATTACGATGATATTTTTGACCGTACAGTTTTTGTGTTTCTTTCACTGCCAAGAAATTTATCTGACTAGCCATTCGCGGCAAGGGATATCCAGTGTTGGCTGAAAAATTGACCCATACAGTTTTTTCTGTGAAATTATAGGCCGCTAACTTTCGGGCCTACAAAACTGCTTTTTCGCATGACGATTTGTCATTCGCACGCACTTTCGACCC